AGGTTTTAATGATCGAATAATGGATTTAATTTCTGAAACAGAAACAGGGGGCCAGATAGGGAGATTTTCTAAAGTTAATAAATCATTGCTTTGGGTATGCATAGAGTCCTGATTGGGTTTAAAAAGAAGATTAGAATAAAAATTCTCGCACGTTGAAGCAGGAATGGGGGTATCAAAATAAAATTTACATTCCTTCAATATACCTGAGACAACATTCCAAAAGAAAGCTGAATTTGACCCTTTTGCCCAAATTTCCAAGTCCGACCATAATTTAGTTCTAAAGGAAGCATTCTTAGATGCTATCAATTTCTTATAATCGCGCCTAATTTTCAACATGTTGCTATAGTTTTTTGAGGTGGGACATCACTGAACCCTACGCATTGCAGCTCTCAAATATTTTCTACTGTACGAACAGTCAGAATCAAACCAGCTAACTCCAACTTGTTGGCGGTTTCTTATCGGAAGTTTGACAGTAAGAACTTTCTTCAGAGAATGACATAGATCGTCATAATGGGCCATAATATTATCTCCGTATATCTGAACTGCCTTGAAATAAAACTGAAATTGGTTGGTGATCACTACCTTCCCTCATGTGGACTTGTATATCTGCGAACCTCTCAAGCTTATCTCTTGAAACACATATATGGTCTAGAACGCTACTGGAGTTACTTAAGTGATAAGTAAAAGGATATATAAAACCATAGTCCTTACCTCCTATAATATAGAGATTACAGTTATAAATCATAGAAACCAATTGTGTACCTGCAATATTTCTTTTGTAATCACTGGAATGCCAGGGAGGAATAGATAGTAAATAATCCTCAGGAATAACACCAGAATAAACAAAGTTATGTAAAGATGCCCCTACCCTGGCATTAAAATCTCCTGCCAAAACTATAGTAACGTTAGGATGTTGGACATTTAATTTTATAACTGTCTCTTCCAAATTTGCCCGGATATTAGGTGTATAATAAGGGGTGTAGTGAGGAGGGATATATATATTCAGCAATATCAATCCGAAAGAACCATAGAAGAACTTGACAATTAAATGAGAAGAAGAAGCATCACCAAAACCGAGCTTCTGGGCTTGCCAGCCCAACTCTGCTTTGGCTAAAATTGACAAGCCTCCAGAGGCCTTTCCTTTAGTCTTAGATTTAACTGAAGGAATAGACCACGAATCAAAGCCAGGCAGATGGATCTGTTCTTCATCCGTGGTCAGCCAGGTCTCCTGAAGGGCTATAAGATCAAAGTTTATCAGGAAATCCTCCAAGTCACCATCCATGGCTCTGGCTTTCCAGCCAGCAATATTCCAGGACAATAGGTGAAAATAATCTACTTGCTTGTCATTTGTCATTATAGGGAGGGAATTAATGTGAGCATTGGGAGGGACACCAACATTTTCCAGTCATCCCACAGGAGTAATATTATCCAAGATTCCCTCAAAGTCAAAAAAGACGCGCTGGTTTATTTGCCTTCACTACTGCCAAATTGGTAAACAGACTCCAAATGCTTCTGAGGGCCAACAACCTGTTGCAAAGGTATCATTGTAGGTTGGCCCAGTGGGATAGTGTCCGAGACCAAAGGGAGTAGCAACGAGCAGGTGGGAACCTCCTTATGATGCAGTTCAACACCTACTCCAAAGTCATCTTCTATTTGTTGTTCTATTTGTTGTTCCACAGTAATTGAGCAACCACTCCTTTCTTCTTGCCTGTACACCTCTTTTACAGAGTTATTATTTGCAGCATCTATATAAGAGGAATTTCATCAGAATTCTCAGAAAGAGCATTAATAACATCTGCAACCAGGATAGCAAATTCTATGGAAGGTTTTGCAGCTTTACGTGTGACTTCTAAAAGATCCTTCAGGTCGTCTAATCTTTTAATGATGCCCGCTTGTTCTAACTCTGGCAAAGTACAAAAAGAATTAATCAGGCTTGACTCCAGTATCTCAGTACGCTGCCGGATAGGAGGTTGATTTTTCAAGTTGCCACTTCTCAAGGGTGCAGGAGAGATAACATCCTTAGAGTTAACAGCTTTAAAATCGTTGCAATTAAGCTTGCGGAAAGCAGTGCTCTTCTTGCCAATATGAGTTATTAAAGGACTAATACCCTCCTTAGTAAACACGCAAGTAGGAAAAATTCCAAATTCACTAAGGAAGGAATTCATTTTAAACACCATACTGGCTATAGTGGGTTGTTTAAAAGTCAACAAAATAAGTTTAAAAGCCCCTCTGGAGGGAAGCCATTCCACCCTCTGCAAATCCACCAGCTGCCTTTCACAGCGAAGAAGCCGGCTAAGGGAAAGAATAACCGCATTTCTAAATCCCCACTTCCCTTTATTCGTTTGGTTATTTAAAATTTGTAAGGTAATCTGATGCCGCCGTAGATAACAGTTAAAACTTGTGTGCTTTTTATCGGAGACTTCTTGGGAGAGAGAACCTTGCTTAGCATGCACCTCTAGGTGAGGGAGTAGATCACATGACAAGTTTTTTATACTTTTAATGAAACCCAAGTTAGCGTCCATCTTTGGATCAGCAAACTTAACAATTGACTCTTTTAATGAGTCCACTTTATTGTTGACCTCAGTTAAAAGCTCAAAAGTAGTCAGCACTGTCTGTGCCGTCAGCATGCATTGCCTAGATATAAAATCAAAAAAGTTTTTATTTTGTAATTTCCCATACTCTTGTTGCAACAAACCCTCAGCGGCAACACCGACAGCTGATGTTTGAAAGAGGGAAGACTCCCCTGATAAAGAAGCAGAAATGTCCGGAAACTATGAGCTCTCTACCTCAGCTTGTAAGTCCCATTCCAGTGGATCATATCTGTTAGAAAGGCTAATAAGTGAGGATGATAATTTATTACTTACGACCGTTGACTGAATATCATTTAAAAAGTCATCCATTTTAAGTTGTTTGCTAGGGTTGCATACGGACTGTGTAGCTGAAAGAGGACGCTCCCTCTTCTTCTGTTTCTTGTTGCTCATGGTGGGCCCGTCCTCCCGCCGAACGAGCCCCGGTCTCATGTAAACAGCAAATTAAGAATTTCAAGAATCCTGCTCCTTAGCTCGTGCATCCATAGTTCGGAAGTCCTTCTGCAGCTGTTGTATCCCCAATGGGTTTTGCCAAGTGAGGCTTCCGCGAACTCCAGATGTGCCAGAATTGCAACTCCCCTAAATTGGGGTAACAATTGATATTAAGATAGGGTAACTTTTTAAATTATGAAAATATTAAAAATGGTAGCTTTATTTTTCTAAAAGAACAAATTTGGTAACTTTAGAGTAAAAAATTGAATTCTAATGTGATGAAAAAGAAGAACATTCATTTTTGGTAGACTGAAAAGAAAGATAGAAAAATGATACATTGATTTATGTTATGATTAAAAATTCATTATTACATGAGATCTTTGTTAAATCAAATGAAAGATCTGTCTTCTATTAAAGAATGTGGTGGCTTCTATGCTCTCTAGGACATTCCTGAAGGCAACAAGGTAAACAAAATAGATTTTCCACCATAGGTTTTATTGTAATTAAAATGGAAAAAGCTCCCTTTTGGGGTTTGGTGAACTATGATTTAACATTCTAGAAGCTCTAGTAAGTATTTTCTTTCTCCTTTTTTGAATATTATATTCCCCTTTTTATGCTTAAAATTTGTAATTTGTTAAGGGTTGCTAAAGTGAATTTACAGGGAATCCTTGATTTACCATCATAATGGAGTCTGGAATTTCCATCATAAGTCATGATGATCGTAAGTTGAGGTACCAACATGATTGTACCTGAAGTTATGAGTTTTTTGCAGCAGTTGTTAAGTGAACACAGTTGTTAAGCAAATCCATGTTTTTATATGGGCCTTTTTTGTTGGAAACTGGCTGAAAAGTCAAAAGCTGGTGTTGGAAGAAATATCTTCTGGGTTCAGTTCCAAGTGAGGAAAAAGACACTGGAAACATGGAGGCTGTTCAGAAAGATGGTTTAATGGTGGACAGGACACATGGCTTGGAGCTCCAAAGTGAGAAGGACGATCACATGCTTCAAGATGTTGGGTGAAGGAGAAGAAGGAAAAAGACCAAGATGCTGAGAGACCCTTGGTTTTATGCCCTCTGTTGCGATTTGAATTTGAGCTTGTATTCTGATTGGTTGTCAGACTCCCATGGGGCCATGTAGGGGCAACTCTGTAGGCTGTCCTGAGTCCCAGGTTTGGTTGAGCCTTGCTGGATGATGATGTAATAAAAGGGCTTTGGGCAATCCCTATTATGGCTGTACCTGGAGTAGATCTTAGTTATGTAAAATAGACTGGCCCAGGCCAGAGTAATACCCTATTAGCAAAGGGGTGTGTGTGTGTGTGTGTGTGTGTGTGTGTGAGAGAGAGAGAGAGAGAGAGAGAGAGAGAGAGAGAGAGAGAGAGAGAGAGAGTTTCTGCCTCTTTGAGTTTCTACTTTTCTTTTTAGGTGAAATATTCTGCCTTTGTAGTATATCCTAAAATATTTCATTTTTCTATAAGAGGGATGGGTGCTAACTTCCTACACTGGCAAACAAGTGTAAATTATTGTCATGTGACCTTGGACCACTTAAACCAGCCATAAAGATGATTTGATTGCCAAGCATCCAAAATGTGGTCATGTGACCTCATGTTGTGCAATCAATGGAACTCCAGAACATGATCTTAAGAAGCTTTTGTGGGGGGCTGTCATAACTTTGACCGGTTGATAATGTGAGGACCACGTATATTTTTAGGAAGCAAATATAAACTATATAGACAAGCTGCTTTTCAAAAGGGTTAGGAGATCAAAGTCTGACTGGTACAATGTTTAATTCTATATTGCCTCACCTTCTTGTTGGTTTATTATGACAATAGATTTAATTGTTCTATGTCTTGTGCCTTTTGAAAATTCATATAATAGTATTGGAATAGAAAGGCAAGGTAGAAATATAAAGAAAGAAAAAAAATATTAAGGAACTGTTGAGAAGACAGGTTTTTCAGTATGTTCTGTTTATTGCTATTTATTATAGAGAACAATATACCTGTAATGGAAAACTAGCCTTAAGGTCACATTCTACGAGTCCTCCTCATTTGTCAGAAGATGAGACGTATTCATCAAATACAAGGGTAAGGTTTTTTCCATATTTTCAGTAACCAGTTTTCTTTAAGTTTCAAAGTGCAAAAAATGAATGTAAACACGCAAGCAGTTAAAACAGAAAAAAGGCAGAAATGATGTCAAAAATGTATGTATATATGATGTATGTTTATAGTATAGTATATTGCAATGTATCTTAAACTACTACAGTTTTTGCAAACAAATGCTGAGTTGGACCTAATAAAGAATATGAGAAACAGGTAGCATATAATTTTATTTTTCAACACTAAAGTATTTAGTCAACTCTAAAGTATTTAGGCTTTTTTGGCCTCTTCTTAGCAATAGACATTTGAAGATGTTGGTTTTGAATAATTAATTTTGCATCAAATGTCTTAATAGCTTAATAAATAACATGGTATGAAAAGACAAAGAAGAAATTATATAGTTTTCCTCAACTTAATTGACTAAATTCCCAGAATTTTCTCCCATTTTTTTCAGAGCCTTTATAAATAATTTTTTGATGCAAAGGTTCCCCAGAGAGGCCTGCATATGCTAAGTAATTCTTCCCTGCCATTACTACCATTTATGTGGAAATAATTGCTGATTTATATTAAGAAATTACATAGTAATATGTACAGAAACGTGTATATAATACACATGTTTTCTCCTAATTTTTCTGTTTTTCCATATTTGCACTAAAACATTTTATTTAAAAATTGAATGTTTCAGGGAGATTGTTATAGAAGAAAAACTTCTTTTGATGACAGTGACTTTGAAGCTCGTCTCAACAGTTGGAATCTTGGGGTAAATTCTGGTTTTTTTCTTCATTTCTTTTTTGATTTCAGAATGATAATCATTTAATCCCTGCATTCAGTATGTGTAGCATGACTTTGCATAGGATATTCTAAAATGAGTTGGAAAGAAACTAAAGCAAATCTTGGTGTTTTAAAAGATATTTAAGAATCCAAAACTTTATTTTCCACAAGTGTCCATCTAGGTGTTTCTAGGAAATCCATCAGCAAGATATACAGCAACAGATTTATTTCTGTATTTCACCATCTGGTATTCAGAGATACACTGTGATTTATTTTGCAGGTTGTATATAACTGTCATGACTAGTAGCTATTTGTACATCAAATATATCTAATCTCTTTCAAAACCCATGTAAGAAAAGTGTTTGTTAGATGGTGGGAACAGGAAATTAAAAGGTCAGTGGAACTGCAGAGAGTTGTGGATAATATCACATAAGATTGGAAAGATACAGGATGATGGATTTTTGTTGCTTTCATGTGTTTCATATGATGAGAGGCTATGTTTGTATGTGGGGGAGAGTTTTTTCCCCTCTGAAAATCACTGTTTTTGCTCCTGTCAAATAGTTATGTCATTTCAGGAATTGGCACAACTATTTAAGAAGTTTCAGAAAGGTCCTACATTTGTAGCCCTGTGAACTCTAAAGCATCTCTTTGCTTTCAAACCTGAAGTGCTACATAGCCTAATGCCAAAATAAATGGTTTGGTAGATGTCCTTGCCTGTGCCTCTGCAGTCAGTTTGTTGGTCAAATTACTTAGATTTTTCTACTGTTGGATAGCTTACAATAGGAACTAAATAAGTTTCTAGAATCTTGAAATGTGTCTTTTAGTTATTTATTCAAGGCATATACTACATAACTTCTAATGACTTTGGATGGAATACAAAAATCTTTAAAAATATCAAATATTTCTAGCCAAAAAAGAGCCAGGTTTTTAAGGTCCCATGAACTTCAATAGGATAGGAGCCACCTGGATCTTTGAGGGAACCTGATTTCAGAGGGTGGTTTCAGGATCTCAGTAGATGGTATTGTTTCATCAAAGGCACCAAGAACTTGCCATGCTTGTTGGACTGAAGTTGTTGGGCAAATACTAGGGAAGTTAGTTAGTCCCTTGGGTAGTTGGGTCCTCTGCCATGAGTAATAACAAGCAACTTGAATCACACTTGGAAACAAGCTGCCAACCAATTCACTCATGGAGCAGAAGTGTTACAAGCCCATGCTGCCTCATTCTGGACCAGTTGAAGCTTTTGGGTAGTTTTCAACAACAGCCCCTTGTAGAAAGCATATGCCAAGCTGAAGTGACCTGGTTGAGAATGATTGTTCGCTACCTTCTCTATCTAGGGAAAGCTTCTCTATCCAGGGAAGGGCCCAATTGGTGTATTAGGTCAAAATTGTGCAGTGGCCTTCCTGCTCATCAAGCAGTATGAGTCCCAGAAAACTTGCAAATTGTGTGCCCCATTTTTGAATGGGGAAGTGCCTGATCCAAGTTTAAACATGCAACATCCTCAGAGCTAGGTAGCATACAAAAGTTACAACTCCTGTTTTAGACTTTTAGCTTGAATGTAATGATTCTATTTGAACATAATTCAGTTATGAATGGAGTAGTTAATTGTATTTTCTAAAATGAGGAGTGCTTGCTGGCATTGATACTGTTCCCTACTTTGGGTAATATAACATCTTGCAAAAAAACAACCAAGCTCAGAGAACACAAAGATCCCTCATTTCAGCCCTGAGCTACATTCACCTTCATTTTTAGAAAAAAATATATTAAGAAGATAATCTTTAACCTTAACTGCTCTTTTTTTCTTTACAAACAGTATATGAGTATGATAACTTATGTGCAGGTAGTATACTCCAGCAAAGTTTTGCTAAAAGAAACATGTTTCCCTCTATCTTTGGTTAAAGATTCTTCAGTATTGATGGGTGCTATTTATGTAGAAGACATCAGATGTTGGTTGTGGTGTTGGCCCTATGCAAGCTCTGGATGGTGTTAAGCTCTTTCCTAGAGCACAGGTGTCAAACTCACTGCGTCACATTGCTGTCAACGTGACTTTTGCAACTTTTTCCCATTCACAGAGCTGGGGTGGCTGTGGCCTGCATGTGATGCATCTGGCCCATGGGCCGCCAGTTTGACAGCCCTGTCCTAGGAGTTAATGATTTAAATGTTCTACTGGATTCACAACTACTTCTTGAACTGAAAATAGAAACTGTGGACAGGGAAGACTTTGTCCAAATGCTGTGTCAGTTACACTTCCTTTGGAATGGGACATTTTTGTAAGAATAATGTTATGCTGAGATTGGATTGTTGAAATGTATTCAGCTTGAAGATTACCTGGAAGCTTAAGCTTATGGAGAATGTGGCAGTCACTCTGCTGGTAGGTTACAGCCATTTTGGTAGTGTTACGTCTATATTATGGGCTTGGCATTTGTTAGTATGTTTATACATACAGTTCAAAATGCTTGACCTCTGATATAATCTTACATGACTAGGACCTATGTTATTAGGGAACCCTCTCCTTCAAAAACAGTCTACCTGCCCACATAGGACAGGCAGACTGTTTTTGGAGGAGAGGTTGGCTGAGGAATTCTGGGAGCTGAAGTCCACAACTCTTAAAGTTGCCAAGTTTGGGGACTCCTCCTTTGGGACTTTTAAGAGTCAGAAGTGCTGAATCACTGCTTGTTGGTTTATTTACAATATCTCTCTCACTCTGTAGTATTCTAATTCCTTAAGGCACTTTTAAAATTCAGAAAGGTAGTAAAAATTCTTTGCTTCTGGGGCCTAAGGGACTCAAGTGGGTTATTTCAAATTTCTAATTATGTTTTAATTATATTTGTTGTTTTAAATTGACTGTTTTAGGATATTTATAATGTTTATATGAGCTTCCTGGAGTATTTAAAATTGAGCAGAATATAAATTATGTCAATAATAAATTTACATAAATAAACATAAAATCTGCCCATAGGGTAAAAATAAATGCAATTATTTTATCAATATTATGCATGTTTTTAAAAATAATTCCAAGGGAAAATTTCATGAAGCTTTATTACATTATCCATCATATTTTTCTTGAAAGTCAATGGGTTCTTGCTGTTATGATTAATATTAATTTCCGAAACATTTTAATTTATTATTTTATTGCTTTTAAAATAATAAAGAAATGAAAAGAAGTCCTAAGATAAGAATGCATTTATTGTTAAAGAAAAAATAAAGAAAGTGTGATTTTTGTAAAAGAAAAAGTGAATAAATGTAACGAGAAAAATAGTATTCTATATCATTTTAACTATAAATAGTTACAGTTCTGTGTATAGATCTGCACCCATCTTGGCCTTCCCAAAAGACCTGAAATCCTGGCTCTGACAATTGGGATGTGTCATATTGAAGGGTGGCTAATGGATTAAAATACTCTACCTCCACCCAATGTATCTTGCTCCCTTTCTTACCATCTTTGTCTATGTTAAGGTTAATTTTAATGGTAATTACTGTAATATTTTAATGTTTTATTCTGTTCCTTTTACTTGTTTTAATCTGCCTAGAGGGTAGCTTGGTGAGATGGGTAGCAGATACATTTCATAGTAAATAAAAAATAAATAAGTAAATAGCTACCCAGTGCAATCATTATTCAAATACATATATATTTCTAATACATTTAAATACTGTAGCTATCACATTTTAAACCAACTGTATTTTGTATAAATGAGTCCCATGGTTCATTATAATTCTCCTAACAAAATCTATGTCTATAGGCAATCCATTCATAGGTGACAACCGCAGTCAGGTTAATTAATTTCTGTAACATGACATGTCACTGTTACAAAAAAAAAAGGACGGATCTCAACTATTGAGGAAAAGCTGAGAATTGGAATGTAGTGAACGAATAATGTTTGTGATGCAGCTAAATTAATATATTTGGGATGTCTAGTTGCTGATATTGATATATTGAAAACCAAAACCAAAAGCTAAAATGTCAAAATTACCAGTACTACTATGAATCAACTATAGATTGACCTCTCAGGCAATAGCACTTTGAAATGGTCTTGTTTTTGTCTGTATATAACATTTGTTTGTATATATTGGAAATTATCCAGAATTGCTAATTTACTTTTTAAAAATAACAAATAAGTAAACATTTTTAGATGCTAAAGGTGTTAGTTGCATCAATGTGTATTTGCATAATTGTACTGTTTCAACAAATGAAACAGTGGGCTTGATGTTTAAATAAAATTATTGGCCTGTTTAACAAAGATGTAAAAAGAATAGTTCTATGAGCTGACAGATATACTCGCTATGAACTATTATTCATAGTCTTTCAGTTGTACCACAGAGATGTTGCCTGGTTAACAGAGTTGAAGGATAAGAAAAGCCAGAGAAAAATTAGATAAATATATGAATGTTAAAATGTTGTTTCTCAAAATATTCTTTAGGAGTATTTCCCATATTGTGATATTCTCTGTCTCTCTCCCTCTCCCTTTCTTCATCGCTGTTTTAAAAATAAGCTTTTTTTCATTCTATTTATATCTCACTTTTCCTCTTTACTTCACAGTAACTTTTTGAAGATTTGCTTGAGGGACTATGATTCTTAAAGCTAAGCTGTTGGTTTCTTGAATCTAGTATGAGATTTTTAAAAAGATGTCTCTATCATAAACTAAGCACAAACCCTTTAATCGTCTTCTTCTAGACTTTATCAATTCAGAAAGTCTTCATTCTCTTTTAATGTATCTTTTTCAGCTCGAAAATCCTAGATATTTACGTGAGAAACCTATGCCCCTCTCATTGGTATGTAGTGTTCGCCTGGTTGTCTTGTTATAATATTTTTTCTCTGTGTTAACACTGGTGTTAAATACAAAATATTATTTTTTATAATAGATGTCACCCAAGTTAGGTTTGGGGAAAAACAGCACTTCTCGAGATGAACAAGCACTGTTCCGAATGCATGAAAAGGAGGTAACACATTTTGCTTTTATAATTGTCTTCTAATTATCTGTTTTAAGGCAAATAAAATATATAAGGTTATGAATTAAACATAGTTTCTGAGGCTAATTTTGACAGCAGATATGGTATTAGATGTGGAGTAAGACACATAATTCACTATGATAACTGGCACTTTAGGAAAATGATATGCTATTTAAAAAAATAAGAGAAAGATTAAAAAAAATCTACATAAAGCCATTGAATGAGATAATTTAGTGGCCCGAGGTGAAATATCAGTGCTGATGATACCTTGCTTTATCTTTGCCCTGGACTGACCAAGTGATACTGTGGGGGCTGGATTGGAAAGAAATGGACTCAGCTCAATCCTAGCAAAACTGAGTGACTGAGTTTTAGATCCTCTTGGATCTAATGGTATTTTATTTTTAGTTCTGGATGAGGTTACACTACTCCAGACAGGAGTGGTGTGCAGTTTGGAGGTTCTCCTGGCTCATCTGAAGACAGGACAAGAAGCCATGGGTGGAAATTAATCAAAGAGAGAAGCAACCTAGAACTAAGGAGACATTTCCTGACATTGAGAACAATCAATCAGTGGAACGACTTGCCTCCAGAAGTTGTGGATGCTCCAACACTGGAAGTTTTTAAGAAGAGATTGGACAACCATTTTTCTGAAATGGTATAGGGTCTCCTGGCTAAGCAGGGGGTTGGACTAGAATACCTCCCTTCCAACTCTGTTATTCTGTTGTTCTGTTTAAAGAACAAGTGGCTGCTGTGGTCAGAACACAACATGCTGTATGCCAGTTACAGCATTTACTGGGTCAGAAAACACTGATTAGGCCAGGGGTGGGCAAACTTTTTGGCTCGGGGGCCGCATTGACTTTTAAAATTTGACGGACGGGCCGGGTCAGCACAAGATACGATACATATAAAAAACTGCATTTGTTAACAGTTCCCCTTTTCAAAGCGAGGGGAGGAAAGAGTTTTGTTTTTTAAGCGGGAGAGACGCCTGCCGTACTCGGGGTAGGAAAAATAACTATTTTTTTCTCCGAGACATCCTCCAAAACTCAAGTTTGGCGTCATAGTTAAATTTGCACAACATAGATAGATAGATAGATAGATAGATAGATAGATAGATAGATAGACAGATTCTTCCCCTACGAATAAATGACTGTGTGTGTGTATGTGTGTATGTGTGTATGAATGTACCCCCTCAGCTTACAAAAGTTGGCCACTTATAAGATAAAAAATAAATAAATGCCCACCCCCCAAAACATAACTCCTCCGGTGCCCACGGATAAACTGTGAACCACCAATTAGTAGCAGGGCTGACCCTTCCTCTTGAACCAATGTCTAATTGGGGGGAGCAGACCGGCCTTCAGTCTCTTGCGAGAAACTGCTGGCTAACCCTGCAAACCGCTTGCCGAGGTGTGTGTGTGGGGAGGCTTTCGCTTGCCTTTCCCCCCACCCACCCAGCGCCCATTCCGCCGCCGCTTTTGCCATTAAACCACGAGTCCTCCTGGGCGCTTGGGAAGCCCGCTCGGCAGGAAACATCTGCGCGCCTCTCCCAGGACCTGCCCGCTCCGCCCAGCCTCCCCTCCCGGCTTACATTGAAGGCCACGGGGAGGGTCTTGTTGCATCTCCAGTGGGAAAGCAGCACCAAGCACAAGAAGTTGGGGCTGTCGGGCCTCACCAGTTCTCCCGGATGATCGGCCAGGACGTCCACCACCGAACACACCTCGGTCTGGCTGCGAGGTCCCGGGACCGGCGCGCTGAGGGCGCCGCTGTTCTCTCCCATCTTACCGCAGGGGAAGGCCATGGAGGGAGGTGTGAGCGCCTGCTGGTGCTCGGGTCTACGGGAATACGCATCACAACAGCGGGCGTTAGGGGAGGAAGGAGGCGGCGGCAGAGCTGCTGCTGCTGGCCGAGAGGTGAGGGAAAGGCGCGCCTAGGGCGCAGCGAGCCAGATGCCCAAGATCACACGGTGGGCCGCTCCAAAGCCGGGCGCAGGAGAAAACCGCCCCAGCCCCCCCTGTGCAGGTCGGGCCCTCGCCGCCACTGCCAGTCCCGGCCGCTCCGGCCACCAGTTGCTCCTTGGGGCGCAGCTCTTCCCGTGGCCCCGTTGTGCTTCTCGTGCTCCTTGATGTCGGCGGTACTCGGGGCTCAGGCGCCTCGGCGGAGGGGGATTCCCTGGGACCGAGAGATCTGAACCGGCTGCTGCAGCTCCAACGCGCCTCCTCCTGCCTCTCGGCTTCGCCGTCCCGTGGCTCTGGGTTCCAGAGTGCAGCCCCAAAGTCTGCCCGCCACGGTGGGGAGCCCGGAGGTGCTCAGCGGGTGGTTGGCCGAACCCCAGAGTGCTCCTTTGGTGCTGCCTCCCACGCCCCCTTCCAAATCAAACGTGGCTCAGGCGAAATGAAGCTGGGCTCTGCCGGTGGTGGCCGCGAGAGCAGCGCTCAGGGCTCCTTCTCCCGCAGTCACGATGGAGGGGCAGGGAGTCGAGCCGGCAGCATCCCGCGCTCCTCTCGGCTCGGCAGCTTCTCTCCCCGCGAAGGGACTGCGACGAGACCTCAACAGGTTTCAGCTCTCTTCGCTCCGCCGGGCTCCTGCCCCCGTTTCCTGCTCTGCCTGACAAGCCCGCCAGGCGCCCTACTTGCTCTCCACCACCCGCCCTCCGCCTCAACCACCTCCTCTCAACGCGTCTGAAAGCAGCCAAAAAGTGGCCGTGGTTACATACGGACCAATCTTCGGCGGGCCACATAAAAAAGACCAACGGGCCGGATGTGGCCCGCGGGCCGTAGTTTGCCCACCCCTGGGTTAGGCTCACTCTTGTCTTAGATAATCTTCTGAGTATATTATCGCAATGTGTTCTAAATGGGACTGCCCCAAGGAACATTTAGAAGGTGCAGCTAGTTCATGTAGGAAGTTATGATACACCTTAGTACATACATGTTATACCTCGGCTTCATGATCTGCAGTAGCTTCCATTGAATTTATGAATATTTGTGGGGCTGCAGCTCTCATGTTATTTCTGTTGATTCCATAAGATCTGACCGGAAAAGTTCCACGGATTGACAACTAGTGGGTCCTAGAAATGGGTATTTTCTTCCATATTGCCTGCATATCAAATTACCCCAATATTAAACTGCTGGGTTTTTGGAAAATCTGTGATTATTGTTTTATTGCTATTGTTAATTTTATTGTTTATTGAGCCGTGCTCATGGCTGCCACCACAATTTTTAATAGGATTGTTTATTGATGCTTATTATAAATTGTCTTGTTATGCAGTGTTAGCTGCCCAGAATCATTCACACATTTGTAACTACTAAAGGTGGGGTATAAAACCAATTAACGAAATATGTAATGTAATTTTGTCTAAGTCATGTTGAATATATTTTCTCAAAGTTTATTTAAATTCAATTAAATTGTTACTGTCATTGGTGGAAACAAATTGAGTTTAAATATAGTCTAGTAGTATCAGCAGGTTTTCAACAATTTCAGAATATATGAAAACTGATGATAGAAATGGTTTATTTTGAGAAAGAGGAAAGTACAGTAATCTCCACCTTTTCTGAATGCCACCTACCCACAAAATGAGTGAAATTCTTATTTATGTTCTCACCAACCTAAGATTAAACATACTGTAAGAAATTGATTTTGACACAGAGAACAAGTTGAACTGTACAATGCAACAGCGATTGTATTATTTTTATGGTTATAAACTACTTTTGAACAATTGATTTATTTTATGTAAACTATGGGTTTTTAGAACCTTTTTGTGTTTCTGTTTAATTATGGCTTACATTCCATTCTGTATTGTCATATTATGGGTTGATGTTATAAAAACATTCATGTGATGTCACCAGGGGTGGGATTCTACCGGTTCTGTCCGGCTCTGTAGAACCAGTAGCTCTGAAGAGCAGCAGACATAGAACTGGTTCTAAGTCTGCTGCTGTTTTGGCCCACCCGCCCGCCTGGGCTCTTACCTGACCTTTATTTCCTGCTTTTTCAACCACGCAAATCGTAAATCACCGAACTGGTAGTTACACCAGTCGCATCCCACCCCTGGATGTCACACTTTACAGCCGCACTACTTAGTGATGGAAATTCTGGCAATCCTGGCTGCCATGGTAATCCTAGGACTGCAAGGGTCATTATGTGAGAACCTCACATGATTGCAGCATGGGAGGAGGCAGGAGTACCAGGCAGGCAGGCTGGTGGGTGAGAGCTGTGAGCAGGGGAATGCCATGAGCATATGCTAAGGACCAATGGTGAGGGCTGTGTCGGGTGGTGTCACAGTTGAGTGCTAGGGAGTACAAGTGGGTGGAGATGACCATAGATGGTGGCTAGCCTGAATGCAGGATGCTGTGATGGCCAGAATTTTGAGGACTAGTCATAACTTTTCAGTGCAGTCATAACTGAACACTTGCTGAGTGAATGGGTATAACTGCAGTACTACCAGTATAACACTACTGTAGAGCTTTTCTCTTTTCAGGGAAAATAAATGTTAGGAAAAACATGAAATCCCTTGGAGGAAAAAAATGTCCTTTTTGAAGACAGCAAAGGTGGGACCCTGCTCCGACCTTGTCTCTCTGGTTTCTAGTTCTACTGAAGTTAATTGCTCTGGCTTTCCAGAGCAGCAGGAGACCATTGGGGGTGGGGGAGAAGAGCTCAAAAGATGGAACACAGGAGTTAAAACATCATTATTAAGGGTAGTACACTCTTTTAGCAAGGAAATTATGCTTGAACTTGGAGTATATGCATGTGCCTCTTGCTTTATTTTCATTTTGGTGACACACAGTCTGGGTTCAAACACTGGATGAACTCCACTATTTGTAAATTATGGCTTTTATCTCTGTGCAATATGCTTCTATGGTTTATTTAACAAATAAGCTTTAGATCTGGAATGTGGAATAGAATAAGAAAGAGACAAAATTGGGGATACTAATGAAAATGTAAAATAAAGCCAAAGCCACATATCATTCTGGAACGCCCAATTCTGATACAGATGGCTCTGTTGC